CTTGGGGGGCCCCCGTTACAAATCTTGACAGTCTTGTTTAGACATTGGGACTGATGCCCAGGATCGGGGGCAGAGGGCCCCCTGGGAGGACAGGCTCCCTGGGTCAGCATGGCTCCGGCGTCAGGAGCTCCACGGCCGCTCAGAATGAAGCTGAGCCAGGGCAGAGTGAGTAAGGCTTTGCTGGGAGGGAGAAGGCACAGTCCTTCCCTGCTGGGGGCACTTCCTCCTGATAATAGAATTCTGCCCAGCTGCTGGGCGGGCTGCTGTCTGACCTCCCTTCCTTAAAGACGGAAGTCTGCTGATGAATTTTATTCGGGGATAAATATTTGCATGAACATGGGAGAAGAAGATGGGCAAGGAGAAATAGGAGGAGTCTGAGAGCCTCTGGACAGGAAGGGAACTCCCAAGAATTTAGCTCTGCCTCAACTCGTGTCCTTGTCTTTCTTAGGGCTCCCTGCACCCCCCAGATTGGCCCTTGGAGACAGCAGGCCTGACGTTCCTTGCACAGGTGGAAGGGATGACTGGTCCCAGCTCTGGGGGAAAGAGGGCATTCCAGGAGTTCTCCAGACCCCTGGACAGTGGACGGTGGACAGTAGCATTTGGAGATGGCTGTGTATCTGAGATCAAAGTAAAACTCAATGTGTGACCAGGATCAGGGCTCAACCAGTGAGAAGGGTCAGTATTTAGTGTGTGACCTGGGTCATGGCTCAGCCTAGGATCAGGTCTGTGATCTGATCCAGAGCTCAGACTGTGACCAAAGTCAGGGCTCTGTTGTGACCAGGGTCATGAGGGAATCTGTGACCAGAGTCAGGGTTCAGTCAGAATAAAGACACAGGTCAGGGCTCATTCAGGGGCTGGGATTATATTCAGTCTGGATCCTTGGCTGTAAGAGTCAACTGAGGTCCTTAACCCCAAAGGACAGAAGGGCAGAGGGGCCGGTATGCCCCTGCTGGTTCCTGCCCACCCTTATCCCTCTTCCCCCCAGGCTCTGAGGGCATAGCCGAGATGCTTCGCAAGCCCCAAGGACAGGTGAGGGCGCAGAGGGTTGTTCTCCAGTCCTCGCGTGTTCCGCTGGAGGTGGGGGCAGAAGGCCATCCCTCACGTCTGGGGGAGGGTGTGGGGACTGAGGACTGCTTCTGATGAGCAGGGAAGAGGAGGAAAAGGGGAAGAAAGTCATGAAAGGAAGTAGTTACAGTGTGGGGCCTGAAGCAGACTACCTGGGTCTCAGTTCTGGTCTGCCACTTACTAGCTGTGTGATCCTGAGTAAGCTACTCATCCCTTCTGTGCCTTCGAGTTCTTCTCTGTAGAATGGGGACAAAAGTAGTATTTACTTCATAGGGTTGTTGTAAGGATTAAAGAAGCTAACACATGTAAAGTCCCTACAGAGTGCCTGGTTGGTTGTAAGTTCTCAATCAGTTTTAGCTGTTCTTATTAGCTCCAGAACCCCGCAGGGGCCACACTCTGTGAATAGTCCAGGTAGAAGTCACGTCAGCGAGAGAGGGCGAGAGCCCAGGCTCCAGCTCCCCAGATCTGTAGGCCACCCCTCTGTCAGGTTCAGATGCCTCCAGAGTCCCCTCCATTGTAACAGTAATGCACCTGTAGTTACTTCTCTAACGGCTGTCTTCCCCCCCCCCCCCCCCCCCCCGCCAACGAGGGCGGTTTCTTATCTTTTTTGCTTCACCACTGTGTCCTCAGCACCCAGCACAGTACTTACACAGAGCAGGTGCTCAGGAAACAGTTCCTGAATATGTGATCATACTAAAAGCAACCATTTACAATGGACCAGGCACTGCACTTGGCCTTCCCTCTAATTTTTTGGTTCAGTCTTTTAAAAACTGAGAATTAAAAGCGATGCATCCAGATAGTGAAGACTGATTTAATTAAACGCTCCTGAAGGGTCTGCCACGGAAGGATAGGAATCTCACCCCACCTCTCCAGTTTCAGAAGCGGAGCCTTTCTTGTGCAGCCTTATAAAATCCTCACGTGTTTGTATGTTCGTATGCACGTTCCACCGGGTCCCCGGAAATGGGGATTTGAGTCTGGTTTGTCCATGCTGTCCTCCCACTGCTTAGAACAGTGTCTGGCAAGTAGTAGGCTTTCGATAAGGATATGTTGAAAGTTCAATTTTTTTTTTCTAATACCAGTGGGATTACGTCATATATGCTGCTCCGTACCTTGCTTTGTAACTATAAATAAGTTAATAAATCTTAGAGATCTTTCCACATCAGCAAAAACACATTAAGCTCATTTGTTTTAAGAGCGACATAATCTTCCATGCTGGGGCTGTACCGTAATTTATTTAACTAGACCCTGCATTGAAGCAGTTTCTGGTTTTCATTTTTCCTTACCCGTGACGATGACACTTTACTTCAGCTTCGCGCCTCCATTCTGCAAGCAGTTATCTCTGATTTTGGCTCCGAAGACTGCATCTCAGAGAGGGTAAGACGCTTGTCCAGGGCACACAGCTGACCTCCAAACCCACCCTACGACCTGCATCTTTTCTCTGCTGCCCACCAGTGACCCTCGCTGAGTTTGCCCATCATTCACAACTCAGAGAAGGCTGCCCGGTGACACTTCCATCAAGTGACAGGCATGGTTCCCCCCACAAAGTTCTCTCAGCCTTTGGCAGTGCCTCCCAGGAGCCAAAGCTGGGCTCAGGAGGCTAGCAGTCCCCAGATGGACCCAGAATCCATTCCTCCAGAGCTGTGGTTAGGCAGCCGTTCTCAGCCAAGGGCAATTTGGGAGACTTGGCAATGTCTGGGACATTTTTGGTTGTCACATCAGGGGAATGGGTACTACTGGCATCTAGTGGGTAGACGGCAGGAATGTTGCTACACATCCTACAGTGCACAAGACAACCCCCCACAACAAAGAACGATCCAGCCGCAAATGTCTACAGTGCCGTGGTAGAGAAATCCTGTGTGAAGGGCACCAGACTTTCCGGGGTCCAGTCCCTGTCCTGCCACTTAGTGGCTGAGTGAGCTTAGCCAAATTGTTTAACCTCTCTTGCCTCCTCTGTATATTGGGGATAAGAATAGTCCCTCTCTTCCAGATTTGTATATATTGTATTTGTAAAGCACTTTGTCAAGAGCCTGACCAATGTAAGCTCTCAATATATGAAACCATAATTGGAATCATTGCCCTGAGAATCTGGGTGTCAGAGAGCTGGAGGAAGATGTGATCCACAGAGAAAGCAGGGCAACCGGCCTGTTCCCTCAGCGTGGCCTCCCCCAGGGATTGTGACCATAGTCCACAGATAGAAATAGAACCCCCTGGATGCGGTTGACCTCTGATTGGTCAGGAATGGAGGAAAAATCGCTCAGAAGACTGTTTCCATTTTAGGGGCTGAAAAGCAGCTCCCAGGAGACCCTCAGACATGGCGATTTTCCAGGAGCTGAGCACTCAAGGGTCCTAGAGATCAACAGCTCCAAGCTGTCCATTTTACAGATGGGGAAACTGAAGCCCAGCAAGGAGGCAGGACTTGCTCACACAGCAAGGCAGTGGCAGACGTGAGCTGGAAGCCAGCCTCGGACACATGTGGGTTTCTCCACAGCTCCACTCTAAAGGCCCCTCTCGGGCACAGACCAGTACCCAGTCATATTCACTCCTTCCCTCTCTGCTGAGAGGCCCTGGACTCCACCCTACATAGAAAGCAATGTCATAGAAGTATTTCTAAGCACAGCTGCGGTATCAGACAGAGCCTGGTTTGAATCCCAGTTTGACCATTACCTGCAATGCCCTTGGGAAGGCCACGTACAATTCCCTGAGCGTTATCATATTTTGTTGTTGAAGGGATTGGAGACAGTGTGTTAGGTAGACTAGCACGTTGCTGGTAGAAAGCAAGTCGGCCAAACCTCTTTCATTCAGCAATTCTACTCCTTTAGATATACCCTCACATGTGGGGAATGAAATAGGTACCTGGATAATCTTTGCAAATTTGAGAACAATCCACATTGTAGCCCAAGAGGGGACTGGCTGAAGGCTCTTTGGGGCATCTGTACAAAGTTTTGACACATGAATTAAAAAGCCTGGGCAGCTCTGTGTGTACTGATTTGTAACAACCTCCGACATACATCATTAAGTGAAGAAGTAAGATCCCGAAGGGTGGGCATAGTGTATGCTACCATGATTGTGGGGAAGAAAGAATATAGATAAATATAAATGCTTCTGCATGCACAGCACATCCAGTTAGGAAGGCATGTAGCTGCAAGGGGCAGAAAATTCAACGAGTGATGGCTTGAACAAACACAAGTCCACAGCTGCTCAAGGACTCGGGCACCCGCCTCCTTCCCCCTGCCCCATTCTGAGCATGTGGCTTTGATCCTCCTGCTCTCAAGATGGCTGCTCTGTCTCCAGGCATCAAGCCCACATTCCAGGCAGGAAGAAAAAGGAAGGGCAAAAGGAAAATAAAAAGACAAAAATCTTCTCTTCCAGTTGCCTTGTCTTGTGGGGGTGGGAGGGCTTGAAAAGGATGCCCTGCTTAGGGACTTGTATCTACATTTTACTGTACAGAACTGGGTCCCATGGCTGCTCCTAGTTGCAAGGGAGTCTAGGAACATGAGTATTTTTATCTGGACACATTGCCACCTGAACAAAATTAGGGTTCTCCTAGGTGGAGAATGGATATTGGGTAGGCAAGTGGGGACTGCCACTCACAGTCCATCACTGGGAGGAGCCATCAGAAAGTGGGCATGGTAATCGCCTGGGGGAGGGGGAGGGAAGCTGAATGACAATGGATGGGGACAGAAGAGTGATCCCCCTTGTAACTGGATATCCCTTTGTACCTTTCTGATTTTCAAACCGTAGGCATGTATTACCTTTTCAAAAAAAACAATTTGGGTTAAAAATACAATTTTTTAAAAGGCAATGCATACAAAATGCCTGGCACATAGTAATAAGCACGTAATAAGACCAGCTTTCCATCTTTAATCACTTCGCATCAGATGTAGATTACATTCCCAGCTCTGTCGCAGCTAAGTTTTGTGACTTTGGGCATATTTCTCCCTCTTTCTGTGCTTCCACCTCCTTGAACAAGATACAGATAATATATTCTTTCAGCGGCTGGCAGGAGAATTCCTCCCAGGAGCCCAGTGCAGTTGGGGAGATGGCTTCTCAAGACCTCTTGAAATGCGTGAGCCTCTGTGGGGGGTGGAGGGCTGGGGCCTGGGCTTCCCAGAAAGGGGGTGGGATTGTGCTACAGGAGACAATGAGGGGAATTTGGTGGTGGGAGTAGGGTGAGGGAAGAGAGTCAGCTCTGGGTGGGTGTCCTTTCCAACATGACACCCCTCCCCTAGGGACCCACCAAATACCCCTCACCACTGACTGGAATACAGCCACACAATAATAGTAACAGCCAATACGTATGGAGCGCCAGGCAATGTTCTAAGTGCTTTTACATACATTAATTCATTTAACCCTGGCAACAGTCATTGGAAGCAACTACTATTATTATCCCCATCTTCTAGATGTTGAAACTGAGTTGTTGAGTCTGCCAGAATGATGATGAGTTGGGTGGGGTGGGGTTTCTCATGGAAATTGATAGCAGGGGCTGAACCAGGGCCCGGACGGGGTCAGGACAGTTGGACTCAGGGGATCGAAGCAGCAAGGACCTGGAGTCTACAAGGCTATGGGATTTTTCAGAGTTCTGGGCAGGTGGATGCAGGATTGACCTGGGAGAATGTGAGGAGTTCAGACTGTTCGAGGAAGGCCCACTCCCAGCTGACAGCTAGTTCACGTTACATGGCAATCGGTATGCCTGCAAATGTCAGGGCTGTGGTGTGGATGGGGCAAGACCGCAGATGCGATTGTCCGCTGACCACTTCTCCACCCCTCCAGCTCCACTTCCGCCCCCTGGGCCGAGCCCCCATCATCTCTCACCTGGTCTGTTGCGGTAGCCTCCCTCCCGGTCTCCTATCTTCCATCCTGCCCATGCTCCCCCTGAAGTCCATTCTCCATTCGCAGCCAGAGGGATCCCGCGAAGACTGTAGTGAGAACACGTCCCTGTTCTCCTTAAAACCCTCCCGTGGCTCCCACCTCGCTCAGAATAGAGTAGCAGTTCCTACCACAGCCTACCAGGCCTTCCATGATCCAGCCCCTGCCAATTCTCTGACCCCATCTCCTACCACCCTCCCTCTGGCTCCTTATGCTCCAGCCCCACTGGCCTATTGCTCTCACCTCAGGGCCTTTGCTCTTGCTGCTTCTCCTGGTGCTCTTCCACTAAGCATCTGTGGCTCCCCCTACCTCTTTATTCAGATCTCTCTTCAAATGTCACCTCCTCAGAGTGGTCTTCCTGGGCCATGGTGCCTCTCCTCTGCCATCTAAAGCAGCTCCATCCCCATCCACTACACTATTCCCTTCCTGCTTTATTATTCTTATCATCATGAGTCAAATTACACTTTTATATGTTCTCTTGTCTCCTCCTTGTTAACTTCCTGACAAGGTAGAATTTTTTTTTTTTTTTTTTTTGGCTCACTTGGCTCATAAAAGACACTTTACAAACATATTCTGTCTACTTATACATACATACAACAGCTTTGTTGAGATATTACGGGGGGCGGGATGTATAATTCACCCATTTAAAGTCTACAATTCGGGCGCCTGGGTGGCTCAGTTGTTAAGTGGCTGCCTTCGGCTCGGGTCATGATCCCGGGGTCCTGGGATCGAGCCCCCGCATTGGGCTCCCTGCTCCGCGGGAAACCTGCTTCTCCCTCTCCCACGCCCCCTGCTTGTGTTCCCTCTCTCGCTGTGTCTCTCTCTGTCAAATAAATAAAATCTTTTTTTTTAAAAGTGTACAATTCAATGCTTTTTAGTATATACAGAGCGTCCAGCCATCACCATAATCAATTTGGAACATTTTTATCACCCCCAGAAAGGAACCCCATATCCATTAGTAATCACTCCACATTTCCCCGCCAGCAGATATCCCTGCTCTAGGCAACCACTAACATTTTTTCTGTCTCTTGGACTTACCTCTTCTGGACATTTCATAGAAATGAGTTATATAATATGCAGCCTTTTGCATCTGGCTCCTTCCACTTAGCATAACGTTCTCAGGGTTCATCATGTATCAGTACTTTGCTTCTTTTTTATGGCTGAATAATATTCCACTTGTATGGATAGCACACTTTTTGATTCTCCTTCATCACTTGATGGATATTTGGGTTGTTTCCACTTTGGGTTATTATAATGTTGCTGTGAACACTTGTATCCGGTTTTTGTGTAGACATAGTCTTTTATTTCTCTTGGGTATCTACCTAGGAGTAGAATTGCTGGGTCATACGGTAACTCTGTGTCTGACCTTTTGAGGGGCTGACAGACTCTTCCAAAGTGGCTGCACCATCTTGGAGTTCTGCATCCTGGCCCACACTTGCTGTCGTCCGGTTTTTTACGCTAGCCATCCTACTGGGTGTGAAGTTCCTAGTGCTTTTGATTTGCATTTCCCTGTGAATCCAATGACGTGCTGTGAGGTGAGGGCTCCATACAGGGGTCAGCTCCCCTCCAGGCCAAGGCAGGCCTGAAACCCGGAGCCTGGGTGACCCTCAGACTGTTGTTTAAGGCCGGGCAGCCTCCTAGGTCAGGCCAGGCCAGCCCTCCATGCTGACTCAGTTGGCTGGTGGCCAGCTGGGTGGGAAGAGCCCTGGTGGGCGCCAAGCCTGCCACCCTGGGCAGGTCTGGGCCACTGACCCAGAGTTCTGGGTCACAGAACTCTGGGAGGGACTCCCCTCCTTCCTTCTGCTCCCCAGCTTCTGCGGGGGCTGCCATACCTCCTTTGTACAGGTGAGGAAAGCAAGGCTCAGAGAGGTGATCTCCGGGCCCCCTGCACACCAGCTGAGCCCTGTGCTAACTCTGGGGTCCAAGGTGACTGAGACAAGGGGCCAGCCCAATGGAGCTCACCCTCTAGTGGGAGAGACGGGCAGCACCAGGTAGACAAACATGCAAGATAATTTCAGGAAGGGGTGAGTGCAATGAAGAAAAACAAAGGAAAGGGGATCCGAGTGGCACGTGGAAGGGCTGCCAGTTTAGATGGTAGTAAGAGTGCTGGTCACTTTTGCAGTGTTTACTGAGTGTCAGGCGCTGTTCGAAGCACTTTCCAGATCTTACCAGGTGAGGCAGTCAGAGAAGGCCTCTCTGTTACAGGGAAGACACATCATGCTGCCTCAACACACACATGCTTTGTGGTCCTTGAATTTAAACCAGAAAAACAAGTAGCCACGTAAATAGCTGCATGAGGGTGCTCTGGAAGTAGAAGCAGCAAGTGCAAAGGCCCTGAGGTGGGAATGCCTTTGATAGATTCTGGGAACACTAGGGAGACCAGTGTGCTGGCCTGGAGTGAGTGAAGGGAGGGTGTAGGAGGTGAAGTCAGCAAAGTTGGAGGAGGCACAGATCAGGGTGCATGACCTTCCAGGTTGAACAGTGGCAGAACTCAGGTTCTAACACAAGCCTCGGGACTCAGCCCAGCACTCTACCGGGGCCATACGCTCCTCTTCTGTCACCCACGCTCTCTATTCCATTCACAGGAGAAGACATCCTAGGGGTCTGTGGGCCTTCTGCCTAGAGGCTGGGAAGAGGCAGTAGGACCCACCTTTCCCTTCCCTGCTCTGGTCCAACATCAGCCTTCACTGAAGCCCCACTCTGCCTCTTCTGCCACTGCCTGGCTGTGTGGCCTTAAGCAAGTGACTTTACCTCTCTGTGCCTCAGTCTCCTCCTCTGCCTGAGGAGATAATTCTGGAACCCATCTCAGAAGATTGGTGTGAGCATTAAAATAGGCCCGGATATATCAAGTGCTTAGACCAGCACCTAGCAGGTACTTGAGAAATTTGGGGATTTTATTATTTTGACTGTTATGATTCCGGTTTGTTTTTACTTTTGACCTGTGATGTTTGCAGTTGGCAGGGGTGGGGGAGCTGATGGTCAGCATAACTTGGAGGCAGGGGTCACTGTGTCCAGGGGAAGCTGGAGGAGGGAACAGGGAAAGGGTCCAGGGCACAGCCCCTGGGGAGGGAGTCAGCCCACCCACCGGGTGGCCAGCCTGGCCCAGATGTCCACTGGGAGAGCCAGGGGTCCTCTGATACTGCAGACCAGACACTAGAGCAATGAGCGAGCGAACCCTGAGTGGGTGGGCTTGATGGGCACCTGCTACGTGCCAGGGACAGCGGTCGACCAGAGGGTCGCACATCAGGGCAGTTCCCCCCCACCACTGCCACACCCACTGTCAGCCTTGGCCAAGGACGTGGGACTTCTGCAGTAACACTGGGCTCCCTGCTCAGAAGGGCCCCACGCTTTGTTTAATACTCTGCTGTCACTGTCTTGAAACTCGATAATTGCTGAACACGGGGCCCTGCATTTTCATTTTGTAACGGGTTCTGCCAACAATATATCCAGTCCTGGCTGACAGAAGCTGGGCAGCCCCCCTCCCTGGCCAGAGCCAGCCCTAATGGATGCTTTCTTTCTGATGGAATTTAAGGACATTATTTGATCTAGCTAGCCTCATCAAGTGCCTCGTGAGTTTTCTCAGGTCAAGAAAAGCATTTATCCTTTAGAGGAATGGGAAAGCCCAGCAAGGGGAGGGGGGGGGCGGGCTGATGGTGCACTTGGCAGGGGGAGCTGAGGAGGTCGTGTTACTCTGTCTCCCCTGAGATTTTCAAATAAATCATGCTTCTGACTCCCAGGAGCCCAGAAACTCCTGCAAAGGAAGGGAAGTAACACCCCTGTTTACCACTTTGTGTCAAAAGCTTCCACTGATGTTATTTCACTTAAATGTCACTATTATTAATTATTATTGTTCACCTTTTTTGAACAGGATGAAACTAAGACTCCATAAAGCAGGGCTGATTCCTTAAGATGCCACGGTTAGGGGCGGAGGGGGAGGAGACAGAGAAAGAGAGAAGGGATGGAGGCATGGCAGAGGAGGGGGCAGCAGAGCGCAGGGCCATGGGATGATTTCCTGGGCCCTGGGGCACTTTTGTTTTTCTCTATAAAAAATATTTAAGCTTATATTTTATAGCTGCATTGGTATAAAGACAAATATATACATACTACCTATTAAAACATTTTCTGCAGTCTAAAAGTTCATTCCCCCCCCCTCTAATTATAAAAGATAGGAAAACATTGGGGAGGGGACCCCGGGTATCTGTGAGTTCTAGGCTCAGTGTCTCCTGTGCCTAACGGGGAGAGGTAGGGAGGGAGGAAGAAGGCGGAGGAGGAAGGCAAGGGACTGTATCACATACCAAAGCCATCAGGGCTGTAATGAAAAATGATGGGCACCGTTACCTTTTGCTGCCATTAATGCAGCTATTTACCCCCAGTAAAGTGACCTTAATTTACAAGGCATTATGACTAACCCCAGATGATTATGGCCATTAATATTTATGGTTGACACTCCCAGAAGGGGACCTGGGTGCTAATTGGCACTCCTCTCTGTGCGTCTTTTCTCAATGAGGCTTCCAATTTCTGCTCTGTTCTGGGTTTTAGCCTCTCAGTCTCAACGGGAAATGTTGCGTGGGGCATTTCCTTATTTCTGGCTGATTCTCATTTCATTGCTTTATTTCCTCCGGATTGTGTAAGCAGCCTAGAAACATGCGGATGCGCTGGGGCCTCCAGGATACTGACAAAGGGCTGGGTCATGGCTGAGGGGAAGCTGGCTGCGTAAGCTGCAGGGAGAGTCTGCTTTTGCCCAGAGGAAGTGAAGGGGAAGGCGGGCGCTGGGGAATGTGTACATTTGCCCAGAATCGGAGCCCCGCTCAGACTCCCACGCCTTCCTCTGTCTCTAATCAAACATTTTCTGGTCTTTTTACATAAGATGGAATCTAAACCAACCCCCCACCCCCAAGGCCCCATCTCTGGTTTGGTTGAACACACGGGGGTGTTTGGGGCATCTGCCTTTGGGGGCCAGATTGGAGAAGGCAGATCACACTCCTCCCCCTTCTTGCCTTAGGTTTGGGGGTGCCGGAAGCTGATGTTGCCTGAGCTGAGAAAGGAGATGTACTTGTCATCTCTGCATTTCAGGTGGAAGATCTGTTTACAAATGGCAATGTGTTGCCATGGCCACTGAGGGCTTCCTTCTGAGAGAGGGGGACGTGCCCTGCCTGGGGTCCCTGCGTGGCCCTGCCCACTCACCTCATGCCCCATCGACTGGGTCTGGGTTGCAGTCTCAGAACGCCTTTGGGGCTAGGCAGGCCTGTACGTGAGGGCCCTGGGGTAGAATGGAGCCCTGGTATCCCTACTGAAGGGACAGTTGGCGGCCAGCTCTGGTGAATGGCTGCCATGCAGAAAAATGGGTACAATGTCACCAAACCTTCTGATTACCCAAGAGACATGGGAAATTTGGATAATAAGCACATTGTCCCAATTATTTTTATTGTCGGCAAAGAAGGCAAATAATACATTTTTTTTTAAAGAACTGAGTGGGCCAAACAAAACATGGTCATGGACGGCCATTTTGGCTTCCATTTTGCAATCTGAGCAGGGCATGTCACTGACAAAATGGCGGCCCACTCAGCATCCTTTTGGGGTCATGAGGGAAGGCAATCCAGAAAGACAGCTTTGTAAGGAGGTGGGACCCAAAATAGACTCAGATTTAGCAACTATAACTGATTAGCCAAATCATGTGTCTCCAAATGATCATTCCCAGATCTACCAGTTGGTGTTGATCCAGGTTTAGGAAAGGAGCACATGGATTCTGGCCTGCATCTGCCCCCAACTTGCTGAGTGACCTTGGACTATGATCTCCCCTTCTCTGTGCCTTGGTCTCCCCATCTGTATAATGATGGGGTCTTGCTGGTGCTGACTGACTGCCCCCCCATGCTTATTCCTGAATGTGTCCACCTATGTGACACCTGGGAATTTCCTGAGTTGGGGTTTCACTGTCAAGAGTGAGTGTCCTCCATCCCATTCACTTATTCTTTAACATCAGAGTGTTGAACAACTACTCTGGCAGATACTGAACTGGGATGGGGATAAAGAAGTGGGAGGGACAGGCGAGGTCCCTGCCATGTGGGCTCACATCCCACTGGAAGAGGCAGGCAAAGATGGAGGAGGTTGTCTGCATTTCTGCTCATCCACATGGCCAGATGGTAGGCTTGACTCATTCCCTGGATTGCTTTAGCCAATGTCCATCTTTCTAGACTCAGCTGAGCTATTATACCCTGTAAGGAAGCCTTTCCCAACCAATTCCTGCACCAGTTTCCACC